AAAGGGTCAAATAGGTACATGAACTAACTTAAAGTGTTCAATTAGCCCCTTATATAGGAGGTTCTGCCCGGCCGTCGCCAATTGGTGCGTTTCCCGGTGGAATTTTTTGATGAAATTTTTTGAGCATCTTCTTCATTAAGTCTAGTTTACCCATACCAAATTTCACCTAAAAATTCAATCGGCAAGGCAGTCAAATGATTTTCCGAAATGTACTGCGCTGTTTAACTGCGCAGTTATCTTCAAAAAATCATTTGACTGCCTTCCCGGTTGAATTTTTAGCTGAAATTTGGTATGGGTAAACTAGACTTAATGAAGAAGATGCTAAAAAAATTTCATCAAAAAATTCCACCGGGAACCGTCCCAATTGACGACGGCCGAACAGAACCTCCTATATAAGGGGCTAATTGAACACTTTAAGTTAGTTCATGTACCTATTTGACCCTTTAGCCAAGTATAAAACTAGTTAATTGTTACACTTTTCATTAAAGCATAAAACTAGTTAATTGTTACATTTTTCATTAAAGTATAAAACTAGTTAATTGTTACATTTTCATTAAAGCATAAAACTAGTTAATTGTTACATTTTTCATTAAAGTATAAAAGTAGTTAATTATTAATTGTTGCATTAAAGTATAAAAGTAGTTAATTATTAATTGTTGCATTAAAGTATAAAAGTAGTTAATTGTTACATTTTTCATTTCCCTATTATTTAATTTGTTAATTGTTGCATTTTTCATAAAAGTAAAAAAACTAGTTATTTGTTAATTGTTGCATTAAAGTTTAAAACTACTTAATTTTATTAGTAAGTGGATTCTTGGAAATTTGCTATAATTTTATTAGTCGCATTTTATTATTACTATTGTACTCATATTAAAACATTTGATATCATATAATATTTGTTGTATTTTAAAGATGGACCATGACAGACATTCTGTAGATATGGGTAATCTCCAACGCAACCGAAGGAAGGAGATTGCGACAAGTCATCCTAGTTTACGCAAAGGCAAAGGTAAAGGGCGGGCCGAGTCTTCTTCTCAAAGTCGAGAAGATTTTGATGACGGATACCAAAGGCGAGATGGGGATGCGATGTCCGACGAGCAACTACAACAACTATTGGCGCAAAATGATGGTCGTTTTTCCCAACAACAAAACATCCCGGAGTCCATTGATGAAGAGGAGCTCGAGGATGACGATGCGGAGGAGGACGAGGGGGGCGACGGGACTCACGGCACCCCGGATGATGAGCAAGAGTTGGAGGACGAGGACGGTCCATCCCAAGTTGGTAAGAAATCTAAATCTCCTATTATAGAAAATAATTTCACAAAGAGGAAAGACCCAAAAACCGATAAATGGTACGCAAGTTGCGATTATTGCAAGGAGTATAGCTTGGGAACTTCCGGCGGATACGGGAGCCTCAAAAGGCATCTTAAGTCTGCGCACTCTGTGGAGTATGCGAAAATAGACAAAGGCAGGGGGAAGCAAACTCAAATATCGAGGTTTGCAAATGACCAACCTTTTGGCAATTTCTCATACACTGATGCACAAAATTTGACTGGTATGGCTAACTTACTTGTTGAAGAAAATTTGCCTTATTTGTTTTCTGAAAGTCTTGCTTTTAAAGATTATGCACAAACTTGTTTAAATCCTCAATTTAGAAGTTATAGTCGCAAAACGGTTAAGAAAGAAATTATAAGGCTTTATCGTGCGGAAAAGGATAGGTTACAATTTTTTTTTGCAAACTTTGATGGCCGTGTAACTATTTGTTCCGACATTTGAGAGGATACTTATCATAATTTACATTATTTGGGCCTGACTGCACATTTTATTGATAGTGATTGGAATTTGCATAAATGTGTTCTTGCTTTTCGTGAATTTAATGATCGTCACACCGCTGAACATATTTATATTTTGATTGAACGTATTTTAACTGAGTATAATTTGATTGATAAGGTGTTTGCTATAGGTTTTGATAATGCTACTAATAATACTGTTGTTATACCTAGATTGCATGAATTGTGTGGTTCTAATACTTTGATGAGTAGATTTTTTCATCAACGATGTGCATGCCATATTATAAATTTATGTGTGCAAGATGGTATAAAAGCGTTAGGAGATGCTTTGGAGGTAGTCAAGGGGGGATTAGACGTATTTGGGGCAACGGTCAACTTAAATTAAAATGGCAAAATTGTTTGATTGAAAGAGGTGTGAAATATGTTGCTTTTTCTAAAGATTTGTCTATTCGGTGGAATAGTACTTATAAATTAATTAAAGTTCTTCTTAGATATAAAGAACATTTTCTTGCTTTTTTAAGACAATATGATAACTATATTTTAAACCCCGCTCACATTGACACTTGCGGAAAAATTTGTAATGTTTAACAAACCTACCTCAAACGAATTTAGTCATGTTCAAAAACCTACCTCAAACGAATTTATTCGTGAAGTTGTTAATCTCGCCGGTGCTTTTAATGAATTTGAGAATGCCGCTTACGTGAGTTATTTTTGTGGTTTTATGAAGGCAAAGTTTTTAAAATATTATGCACATATTCCGCATATTTATAGTATTGCATTTATTCTCGATCCTCGTTATAGACTTGGTAATTTGGAAGAATGTTTGAAGTTCCTATGTGGATTAAGAAGTTTCTCCATGAGGATGCTAATGGTCTTGAGCATATTAGAATTTAATTTTTCGTCTGTTTTCCATTCCGATGTATAAAAAAAATTATAATGCTTTCTTTGGTCCATTTCCAATATATGACGATAACGCGAAATCTGCAAGTTGAATACAACGAGGTTAGTAATTTATTTTATGCCTTATTTAATGAGTTTCGTGCACAATATGGCAACGCGCCCCCTCCCCCGACACACACATCTTCATCTAAAGGAAAATCACTTTTTAAATCTGCTTTTGGCAATCTTATGAAAAAACCTAAAACAACTCATACTACTGAACAAAGCGCACTTAGGGGTTGTTTGGAAAATGGCTTATCAGCCATTTTTTAGCTTGTTTGACTGACAATAGCTGGTTGACTATGTTAAAAAGCTAAAAATGTTGTTTGGTAATCAGATTGTCCATTCGGCTTATCCATCCGAAGAAGCCGAATATTGAGAAGCTGGACCAAGCAGCGTTTATACCTCATGTCGGCTGATCCAAAAACGATTTACCCTTTATACCCTGGTATTCAACGGTTCTTTTTCTCATCTGTCTTTCGTCTTCGCCAAGTGCAAAGAAAGGTGCGTGATCATCTCTCTTGAATTTTCTTCTCTCTTTTTTCACAATCTTTGCATTATTCAATTAATTTGCATCTGCTACCCTTTTGCAGTCACAGGGATCACTGCTTGTGCGTTTCTTTTGTTTCAAGTATTAAAAGTATTTATTTTACATTGGAACATCTGTAAGAATTCATAATTTATTGTCCGTTTGTATTTTTATATGCATTCTTTCATATATATGTTTCTAGAAAAAGCTGGAGTATGAAATACTAGCTACTGATTCCAAAACCCAACTTTGTAACAATGAGAGTGATCTTGTTTATTTCCATTTTGAGGAGCTTTAATCAAGAATTGAAGTTGTGTTTGTATTTTCATGATTTGTTTAATGTTTGTCATTTGATTCATTATACTTTTATTTTAAAATTAATTTATTCTTTTTACATTTCAAATAATTTATTTTCTTAAATATTTTTCTAAAAATAAATTATAGTTTCAACATTATCACTATTAGCATTATTCAAATATTATATAATTGCTCATGTCCTTATGTGTCTTTTTACACTCAAAAAGTTGTTTCACAACAGCTAACTTTACCAAACACTTATTAATTACAATCTAACATAACCAGCCAATCAAAACAGCTAACATAACCAGCTGTGATCAAGCAGTCGCCATAACCAGCTAACAGCTAACAGCTAACAGCCGATTGCCAAACAAGGCCTTAATGAGATTTCTTTGTATATAAATTATGAGGTAGAATTTGACGAAAATGAGGAGTTTGAAGTTCTAAAGTGGTGGAAGTCAAAAGAAAGAATGTTCCCGATTTTGGCACGGATGGCTAAGCAAGTGCTATCAATGCCGGTTTCAACAGTTGTCGTAGAACAAGAATTTAGTTCGGCCGACAACGTTCTAACGACATCTAGAACGAGTTTGAGCGCTGAGTATCTTGAGACGCTTATATGCTACCACGATTGGTTGAAGGCCATGCGTAGATGTCAAGAAATTAACATCACCCCCTCCCAAGACTTTATGAATGAATCAACAACCGAGGGTGGCTCATATGCCGGAGATTTCGATTGATTAGTATTTTACAATTTATTATAAAATGTATTTCATGTTTTAATTTTTCCTTCAATTCTCTATTGTAATTTGTAAAGTTGTAGTTCATATTTCAAATTAATATACATTCTTTTTTTAATGTAGCACTTCTCAAATTAATTAATTAATTAATTGGTTACAAACTTACAACTTAGAATTTATTGTATTAGTATTTTTTGAAAAATGTATTTCATATTTAAGTTGTATTAATAAGTAAAAAAAAAACCTAGGCCCGACCCGACCCAGCAGGTGACCCGGCCCGAACCGGCACCGGGCGAAGGACGGGCCGGTTCCGGGCCCCCCATTCCAGGACTGGAGGCCCGACCGGGCCTAGGGCCGGCCATGGCCCGAACCGGCCCGAGTCCAGCCCTATGCTGAGGCATCGACTTGATAAGTTATACGAAGTACTACAATTCCATGAAGCATGATGATCTAATAGAATAAATCCTGAGTGATAGATCTCTCTCAAATGAATACGCTGGGTTGGCGAATATGCGTTAAAAAGTGGCAATCTTGGTCATGTATATGCAACCACCAAAATAGTTGTGACCTTCCGATGATGGAGGCAACCTGATCACGAAGTCCATAGTCACGAGAAGTCTAAGAGGTGAATGTGTGACCAAGACTTCTTAAAATAAACTTCTCTGTTTACAGTAATTTCAGAAACTGAAAACTTCGGTTCAACATAGACACACATTAAAGGTCTCATGCAATTATGGGGGGAAAATGCAGTACTTTTTACAGAATTAGCATATTTTCCCCTTTCTTCCAATATACCTTCTATAATTTCGAAACTTTGTAGTAGTTCATTCTTCATATCAACTAGCAACACTATATCAAAAGCTATTTGCCTCTAAAGATACAGATGTTACACTACATTTCCTGATTCGTGTTAATCATATAATAATGACTACTACACACACACACATATATGTAGTACTAGGAGACAACCATCAGGGGGCATCCAAATACATTAAAAAAAATTCGGATGAACAAGTCTACCTCTTCAAGGACCATCAACAATTTATCAGACTCGGGGCGGTAGCTCTTTTTTCTTAGCATGGGCATCCGGGACAGTGACCCGCTGCTTTTCATATTCTTCTTTCAGTTCTTCCAAACGCTTGGAGACCTAGATGATGATGATGATGATGATGATGATGATGATGATGGAAGGTTGGGAAAGTTCATTAAGAAAATAATGAAGTAACCAGCAGTGAACTGAAGGAATTACAAAAATAGAAATTAGAGTAATTTGTTAAGAACTTCTTCATCCTATTGTAATTGTTACAGATCATTGTTTTCCTTTTTTCACTTGATTCTGTCACCTGTTGTGACACCTCTATCCAGGGTGCTAGATTATTTACCATTCTGCTTCTAGTACGCAGAAAATCTAGTCCTTTTTTATGATAAGAAAATCTAGTCTTCGAGCAGACAATATTATCTATTTAGCAAAGACTGGGACAGATTTATTCTATGTTATGGACTAAATCAGTGAGATTTTCAATAGTTGAGCACTAAATGTAGAAAAGCTATTGGCCGAGCACCGGGCGCGCTGCATTTGGTGCCATCGAATTGGTCGACTCAGACTCAGAAAATGACAATTTTTAGCGACCGGACATTTTAAATACATACATACATATACCCAGACGATCACATGTAGTAGTTTGGCAAAAGAATGAGAAATGGGTCATAATATATGGCTGAAGGGCTCGGCTCAATCATGCATCTGTTAGTAATAACTAATAAGTGATGGCTTTGCATGCTTAAGAACTTATTAGTTTGTAATTTTGTATATTGTAATATTAATTTCTAACTTTTAACTATTCAAAACAACAAAATCATGTCATTGACAATAGCATGTTGCCTAAATTTATATTTTTTATCATCATATAAATATAAAACTGCAATGATATCATTGTTATTGGATATAAGATATATTAATTTTTGAAAAAAAATCAATGCAAGATTATTCGATTACATTTAAATGTTGGATTTAATAAATACTCCGTATTTTTTACTATTAATATATTGTTTTTAAATCAAGGCATTATCAATTCTTTATTTAAAAATTTGCAGGACTCTCAACTTGAAAGAAAGTTATTGTTTATATTCTGTTAACTTTATTATGAACTGAACATATGTTCTAAACCAGTACTGATATATTGATTCAAACGAGCTGGAGTGAGGATAAACTGCTAAAAATATACAAGCACAACTACCATTGATATAGACTTTATCCTCAAACCAATCCATTTTTTTGCTAAAATTTGAAATGTTTCCTATCGTTGAGGAACCTAATGTGAAACTTCTTTCTTTTTCATTGAGCTTCAAAGATGAAAATGAGCTTCAAAAAGTGGCCACGGCCCTCATTGAGCATCAAAGATGAAAATGAAACTATAGTTAAGGAACTTTATGTGAAATTTCTTTCTTTTTCACAATATGTTAAGTGGGTTTAACATCCAAACATTCCTTACTATGAAATAGTTTACTTTTCACTATGGAAGAGAAGGCACCACGAGGGAGGGGGTTAAAAACCTTGAATGTATAGGCCATTGACAGTAGGGTATCTGGGTTCATTGCATCCTCAGGAAAGTTGCGCAGAGCATGTATGAGTTTCTCAAAAGGTAATTTTACCTGTCAACACAGATGAGACCAATATAAGGAACAATTGAATTAATAAAAAGATAAAGAATACAAAATGCTAAAATCTGCAATAATTAAACTAACCAGGTCATCGTGGCAATATTTCAATAACGCCAACCCGACCTTAAACACAACGTTAACACCCTGATACATTTGAACGAAGTAAGAACTATAGCAAGTCCAAACTAAGGAAATGTAAACGAAGACCATGATAATGAATCCGCTAACCTCATACAGAAAAACATCCCAGATTCTAAGGGCCAAGTGAAAAGGGAAGGAGTATGAGAAAACAGTTATGAACCACTGACTTGCATACATGCTGGGATTTATCATTTCTTGAGAAAAATGCTCTCCCAGCTTAGGCATGAAATCCTTTACTAAACAATCAAATTGGAAGAGATATTGCTGTACAAGAGGCAGTCCAACCTAGCTCGAACAGTGAACTTATTAGTGTCAACATTCTTCAAATGAAATTAGTAGCATTAACATGAAATTACAATTAAATTCACTATCGGGAGAAAATGCCCAAAAATTATGCTTTCTGAAAGATAGTCCAGAAGGTTGCTTTGATATTATGACTTGCCAATACTTTTGAGTGATAGGCTGATAGATAGCTAAAACTCCATAGAAATCAGGGAGGAGCAAAAATGATTATGCTTTATGTGCCACCTCATTCTGGGAAGAACACAAGAAAGAAGAAGACACCCAATATTTCCATTTACTGACCAAATAAAGAATACATTGTGCACTTGAATGGAAGGTTAACTATATATGGCCTTATAAGTTGGGGTAAATCATAGTCTTGAAGGAGTTAACCTGTTTCTTAACTAAACCATTTTAGTAAAGGCCACACTCGTATCTCATCCTCTAAAAGATAGGTAACCCTTGTAAAAGTTAGTGGAACTCAACAAGGGAAGTGGACAAAATTGTGGTACTAAATACTAACCTAACAGAAAAATGGGACTTATAAAACAAGGTAGAGGAAGTAATGTGGAATCTGTCTTGGGCCAAAATCCCAAACTTGTCCTTCCTATCTACTGACCAATAAATTACTCTGCCTAAAAAATAATTGCTTCGTGCTGATCATCACTTGTGCTCATGTTTAATGGGCGTAGAGGGTGAGCTAATTAAGTCTTATCAAGGATTGGTGTGGGTAATGGGCTTGTACAATTTACTAAACCTGCAAATTAACTACTTGCAATGTATCTATTTTTGGCTTATTTTTTGGCCGAAGGATGTTATTCTGATCATGTGGTGATGAAAGTACCAATGTTACAGCCCGGAGGATTGTAGCCGTTGACTATACTTTAGACAGCGGGACTCCATAGAATTGAGTGAGTGAAGAAATGGAAGTACTTTGAGTGAAAACCTACCTTAAGGAAGATGGAACAAAAAAGAAAGAAGATTATTTAGTTGATACACATGAGAGCAATGGCAGCAACAAAAATAAACCCTACCCTAGCCCCCCCTCTTGCTGACCTTTCACTTGCTGGAGTACTGCTCTTCATATTCTTCATTGCTTGGAAAATGTCTAAAAAATGGTATGGAGCTCATATGAGCAGCAGTTTATTCCCTAGTGTGTCTAGGTTCTTCTGCTGCCAATTTTAAAAGTTAATTAATGAGTGACTTCTGCCGAAATCAGCGATGCTAATTGCTATAGGATGTTATACTCATATACTATTGTTCAATTGTTATAAAAGGCACTCCTCCCATCCTAAATCTGCTTTTATCAGAGACCATTATAATTCGCAACCCGCCTATGGTGGTACCGATGGCTCACCCATTCACCCCCTACTGAACCACCGCCATGGATTGGAAGGGTGGTTCTATACATTTATACGCTCATGAGTTTCAGACCGGAATAAATCTTGTTGGTCTTCAGGCCGGCAGTACTGATCTGCAGGTCCAGTGGAATAAGACGAGGGCTTTGCAAGGTCAGACACTGATGGCTATTTCTACCTTATTTCTTTACTACAATTGACGCCTTTTTTTACAAATTCACTAATTTGTGTACTCTTGTTATTTTTTGTTTATTCGTTTTGATTTGGTAGAAGAATTGTGGGTTTTTCATACCATATTAGAAACATGAAGACCGACATGGACAGGTTAAACTTCCATTTGCCTATTACATGGTTAACGCGGCTTGTTAGGCGAAAAACTCAAAGTCTAATCATTGGGCTTTTGCATAGGCCTAGTGTTGTCTTGAGTATATTTGGTTCATTTATTTAAAAAAAAGACAATGACGATGCAACTTTTGAAGCATGCTTCAGCCACTGAGGATGCCTTCTCCCAATAGTTGAACATAAAGACTGTGCATGTCCACATAAGCATAAACTCACTGACTCACCAAATAATAAATATGTAACTAGAGATATTAAAGGAGCACAAGGACAACAAATCAATCACAGAAAATGTGAATGATGTCTTCTTTCTTCCAAAGATAATGAAATAACCCTTTTCCGTATTTAGAAAGTATGTGACAAAAGACTTACCAAATACATCCCTTCCATTGGAGAGTGCACAGCTCCTTTTAACAAGGCAACCAACAACCAAAATGCATCTTCTTCGCTCATGTAAAGAAGCAGAAGGCCTGCAACAAATCCCATGCCCTACAATATTGTGTGATGCCAATATCATACAATCCAAAATAACAAGATCAACATTCTTTTATTGGAAAGAATATGCACCTGTACATATCCAACATCTCTGTCATATACAGAGTATGCTTTAAGAACATTGTAAAGAGACCTCTGTCCAGGTCCATGCCTCTGTTGAAAGAAGACATGTGAAGGAAAGGTGCGAGAGATATCTCGAATGATATCTAGCTCAGAAGCCGATGTCTCATATATGACTAGTTGCTGCACCACAAAATACATATATGAGCTCAATATCCATCATGCTGGTAGAAAAATACATGTGCTTACAGTATAAATGGATCAATATCCAGAATAAACTCTGCCTTTGTACAGGGGCTCTAAAAGGCGCTTGGTGCGCAATAAACCGGGCCCATCACCTTAGGGTCTAAGTGGAATTTAGTCGGCCTAAAAGAGATAGATTTTTTGAAATATTATTTCCTAAACCTCTTATTATTCATAGCATGTATTGTTTTAATACTATTTCAAATATGCTTTTATCTATATTTACATGACGAAATTCATGTACTGAAGATGGTTAAAATCGACTAAGAAACGCAACAGTTAAAAACTATAATTAATCTATACTTGATATAGAATCTAAATGACATTTCTTGTTTAATGAATGCATTATAGAATGACATTGTGTTAAGAATGGACCACCCTTAAGCAATCTTCACACACACAAAAAAAAAACATTAGTGGTGCCTAGTCACAGGCAAAAGCCACCTAGGCACCTTGCCACCTTCGTTGACTGCCTAGGAGGAAATCTGATGGCTTGCCACATAAGCCGCCTTTTAGAGAACTGCTTACATTAAATGTGGTCAAACTCTCTCCATGTGTACTTTGATGTTGGTAGGATACTAGGATGAAAGTTTACCAGGGAAGTAAAGTTATTTACAAAAAATGGATTAACATCAACTGGTGGTCTACCTCATATACTCCTGGGTTCATAAGCAAAAGATCCCGACTTCCAGAAATTAGCTGCCAAACAAGCCCTCTTAGACAATCAGGAATTCCTTTCCGTATTCGCCTTTTAACTACATGAGGTTTTCTGCGAACATAATGCTTCCAATCGCTACCTCCAACACCAATCATTTTCCTCCATTTTCTTATCCTTCTTTCATCCCTGAAAATTTGGTAGCCTATAAATACAAGTTTTATTAAAACACTTTCTAGTGGTCAAAACCCATATACACAGGCAGAGTAAGGAATCTTTTTTTCAGAGTACAAGCGGATCCTCCATATATACCTTAAATTAAAAGAAGATATTCCATTTATACCAAGGAAAAGGTTGTATTGACATTGGAAAGTATTCATATTTTGAAATTCTCTATGCTGTGGAGAATAGTTACAATAGTATTACTTTGATTTTTTACTGCTGAAATGGATTTTCAACTAATAATATGGATATGAATAGCAGACAAACTTTAGGGATTGCAAAGAGGTAGCAGTTCAAAAAATACACTTATTTAGTAACTATGCTAAGAAATGTGAAAGCTAAATAATTTTTTTTTAGCATTGCAATAGCAATACTAAAAAATGACAATGTGAAAGATCAATATTGTGTATAAGAGAAATGTATGGAATGCAATTAGCAACCTTAAAGTAACAATACTTGAAAGCAAAGCAATTTCTAACCTCTGATATTCATAGGCTGATCTACTTCTGACCAGACCATTTGAATGACTGTGTTCTTGTTTTAGAAATCCAAATCTATCAACTCTAGGCAATGCTGGTAGTAGATCTTCTTCATCTGATCCCATCTTTTCCATTTGACTATGGTGCGAATCTTTAATCATATATCACTAGCAATTCACCATCACTAATCTACAACATGTGAATGTTGTTGCACGTCCCGTTTCATTCATAACTACTCTCAACTTTACACACAACCAAAACTGAAAAGAAAAAAAAGTAAAAACAGAGTTTGATACTTTGATATCAATTGATCAGAACGGAAGCCTCGAAAACATCCAAAGCTCAAGTCTAATCATCATGAAATAAAATTTTAAACAACTTTTTTGACATGAAATTCACTTGAATTGTATAAAATAAAATTCAAACTTCCAAATTTGTTTAGTCATAACGCACATATACATAATTTTCCATCATTTCCAATGGAGCCAAAGACTTGCTATTTTTTGGCTTGGTAATATGATGGAATAAAGCAAAATGGCTCACTAAACTGTCTGCCCTTCTTTGTCACTAAATTTACTTTAGTACAAGGGTAAGACTGTGTAAATCCGACCCCCCTTACGGCCTTACTGTAGGTGGGAGCTTTTACGGCATTGGGGTAATGTTGTTGTTGTTGTATAACACACATATATACATACACATATATAGAGGGAAAACAATGATCTATAAGGCCGGACTGAAGAAACTTGGTCAGGCCGAAAAGTGGTTCCAGCCATCGCGCTGAGAAGCAGATAGGGGAGTCTAATGAGCAAAATGAGCCATTGGAGATGTCTTGTCATCTCATGATGGGAACTTGGGCTGACAGATTCCTATCAGTCCAGGCTCAAGCCGACTCGAATGTCTTTCTACACACACACACACACACATATACATATGTGGGTCTATAGCTCTTTCTACATGACAAGATAACAGCGAAATGAATTGTTACTGAAAATGATAAGATTTAAACCCCCTAAATCAGCATCAAGAGAAATAAACACATTAGCACCAAATGGTTAATATGGGCTTAGCATAGAATCACATTTGCGGATAGATTTAGTCCTTTAGAAGCTGATACAGGATAGAATCATGAACTGAAGAAAATTCAGGATTCACATAAAAGTACGCAGTATATTTCAGTTTCGGATTCATTTAGGCGTCATGATTCATGAATTCTTAATAATTAGGCAAGAGAAAAGGGAAATTGGACGGGGAAACTAACCTGAACGGAATGGGCAAAGATGGGAGCACCATCCTGAAATCCCAAGTCTATTCCAAATGACAATTGTAAGATGCTAAAAGAAGAAGGTTATGTTTGGTTGCTTGTTATACAAGACTATATTGGTAATTTCACAAAGGGGAGAGGTGAAATTCACTCCTAACGTTTTGTTCCAACTGCAGATTGGCTTTGAAGTTTCCTGATGAGAAAGTAGGCCTTAAAACATCTTTAAGGGGCAAAAAAGCACCTGTCTTCACGGCTTCTTAACGGATGGTGCAGCCGTTTTCTTCTGCCAATAAATTAATTTTACCAGTTATATGCAACGTTTGAGGAAGATGGAAAAAGGAGTTTTTTTGGCGATATGAGTGGAATAATTTGAAAATGAAAATCAAATAAACCTTGAATTTTACGGGCTTTGAGATGTGAAAAAAATAGACTATGGGTCTGGGAAAGGAATGGAAAGGTAAATTGCATTTCCTTAGGGTTCTTCGTAGTCTTCTTCTATACAAAGCTTGATAAAAATAAGATATTACAAGAGACGGTGGCAATAACTTCTATTTTTTTTATTTTTGAAAATAAGCGGTGGCAATAACTAGCATCCGGGAAGAGCAAATGTCCCAAAACAGAGCTCTGACCTTTAATTCTTCCAGTAGAGCTATAGCCACATCATCGCTCAACTTGGATTCTTCGTAAACTTCTCCAATACATAACTTCAATTTGGTTTAGACTTCCAGAATCCAGGATATGCCTTAAGCCGTAAATAAATTGAAAGAGAGCAAAATGAGTTGCGAAGGAACCGAAACTGAGAATGGGAAGATTGATCGGGAAAATCTTCAGATGTTCTATGTGAGATACAACGTACAAATAAAAAATGTTAGCAACTGTTTTTGCTTAAAAAAAATGATTAGTAGTAAAAGTTGATAGCTTTTCAGAAAAAAGTGATTTTGAAAAGTAAAAGTGATAGTGTTTATGTAATAGAAAAGGTAAAAAGCATTTTTCACCCAAAAGTCGAGAAACGTTTTTTAAAGTAAGAAGTCGAGAAGCATTTTTCACCCAAAAAAACACTAAATTTAGCTTTTTAAGCCAAAAGTAGAGAAAAGCTTTTTTAAAACTATTGACACTCCTTTAGTCACCAAAAAAGAATTTAGGAGGTGTTTGGAATTGATTCTGCTTCAATTTTTAAGTGAGAATCAAAATCAAAAATTTCTGCTGTCTAAGAAAATGATTCTATCTGGAGTGTTTGGTATTGATTCGGCCGTATGTTATAGAGAATCCTTTCAGAGTGTTTGGAGGTCTTGCTCTTACAAACAGCTTTTTGTGTAAATTTACCAGAAGGGCATAGGTTAGGCATAGGCAATAATCAAATAGGTAAAACTTGTCTTTGAAATACCAAAGACAATGATCGAATAAAAGAGAAAATCAACATATTCACAAGGGTGCGGTACGTTCGTGCACTATACCCACGCTCGCGCAAAAGTCACCAATTGGTGCTTCATACTCACCACCTCGATCATTTCTAACCGTTTTAATCCGTCGATTAAGTTGGTTTTCCACTTCATTCTTATAAAGAATGAATTTATCGATTGCTTCGTGTTTATTTTTCAACAAATAAACATAGCTATAGCGAGTGCTATCATCGATAAAAGTAATAAAATATTTATTACCGCCACGTGTTTGTATTGATTTAAAATTACAAACGTCACTATGAATTAATTCTAGTGGTTCCGTTTTTCTTTCAACCGATTTGAAAGACGTTTTCGTTACTTTTGCCTCCACACAAATATCACATTTGTGCTTCACATCAATTGTGAGTTTAGGAATGTGTTCCATGTTAATTAATCTACGTATAGAATTAAAATTAACATGTCCTAGTCTACCATGCCACACATTGGAAGACTCAAGCAAGTAAGCAGAAGAGATTTTATTATTATTTTTAATAATAGTCATTACATTAAGCTTAAACAGCCCATCACATGCATACTCTTTGCCCACATACATTCCCGACTTGGACAAAACTAATTTGTCCGACTCAAAAACCATGCGAAAGCCGTGTTTGTTCAACAACGAACCGGAAATCAAATTTTTGCGTATTTCCGGAACGAACAAAACTTGGTTTAGAGTCAGCTCCTTGCCCGAAGTCATCTTCAGTACCACCTTGCCCACACCTTCCACCGCGGAATGGGCTGAGTTTCCCACTCACACTTTCTCACCATTTGATGGCTCAAAAGTAGTGAATAAGTACTCCCGGTTTGAGCAAATATGCCGGGTAGCACCGGTGTCCACAAACCACTCCTTGGAATTGGATCCAACAAGGTTGACTTCCATCACCACAGCCGCTAGGATGATGTCTTCATCCTTTTGCCCACCTTGCACCAAGTTGACGTGAGAATCTTTCTTCCTCTTTGGTGCCTTGCAATCCGAGAACTTGTGTCCATTTTTATTGCAATTGAAGCATTTTCCATTGAACTTCGTCTTGGAAACGCCTCCCTTGGGACCGAGTTTGCTCTTCCCATTGTTTTTAGTTTTGGAGCTTTTAGCATGCTCCACCACGTTGGCCTTGGTGCCGTGAACAATTGGGAGTTTCCCATCGTTCTTCCGATTATCCTCTTCAATCCGCAGACGGAGGATCAATTGCTCCAAGTTCATTTCCTTTCGCTTGTGCTTAAGGTAGTTCTTGAAATCCTTCCAAGCCGGCGGCAATAAATGAATAATTGACGCCACTTGGAACGACTCACTAACTGCCATTCCTTCATCTCGAATTTCGTTGAAGATCATTTGCATCTCCTCAACTTGACTCAAGACCGTCTTCGAATCCACCATTTTAAAATCAATGAATCGACCAACAACAAATTTCTTTGTGCCGGCATCCTCGCTTTTATATTTGTGGTCCAAAGCATTCCATAGCTCCTTAGCCGTAGCCAATTTGCTATACACGTCGTACAAAGCATCATGCAGCCCGTTCAACACATAGTTTCGGCAAAGGAAGTCTGAATGCTTCCAAGCCTCAACCGCGTTGAAAGATTGCGCATCCACCTCACCCCCGGTTGCAACCGGAGCGTCCTCGGTCAAGAACCGTGCAAGACCGAGAGTAGTGAGGTAGAAGAACATCTTTTGCTGCCACCTCTTGAAGTTCAACCCATTAAATTTTTCGGGTTTCTCCACAGAGTTGCTTGGCACGGTAACCATAGGGATTGCCCCTTGGTTGCCCAAAGCAGATGCACCGCGTTGTGAACTATTGTTCACCGGAGCTCCGCTTTCAGAGTGATTATCGTTCGGCACATTCTGCCCAACAACATTCTGATTTTCTTGAGAAGCCATTTTCGTTTCTTAACGTTTTTTCCGAAAACACAAAAAAAAGTTTTAAGTTTGTTCACAGAAGTGACAAACTACGTTTTTAAGATTGTATCCGTGTGATACAAACTTAGCAACAAAATACGTTTTAAGATTGTATCCGTATGATACAAGCTTAGCAACAAATACGTTTTAAGATTGTTGGGTGTGTTTCGGAAAATAAAGAAACTTAATTAAAATAAATTAATTAAATAAAATGACTAGAGAAAAACAAGAAAGGAGATGAAGAAGAATTAGTCAAAGCTCGTGCTACGCACGATGTCCTTAAAACGTATTTGTTGCCTCCCACGGTGCTAGGAGCGTTGCAACAATCGTTTCCCAAGATACGATGACTACGAACTAATGTTTGAGCACACAAACAAAAGTTCCAGCGAACGAGAACTCAGTATGAACACAGAGGAAATTTTCGGAAGTAGCTGGAGGTGTTTTTAGCTGAAAAAATACGTGAGCTAGTGTGTATGAACGTGTAAGATCGTGTGTTGATGCAAACCACCTGCTAGCCATTATATAGGAGGATTTGTTGTGTGCAAATGGTGAATTAATGGACCTGAACGTTGGACATCAATGACCAGTCCGTTGGGCATTGAATCCTCCATGAACTGTCCATTTAACGCTGCATTAAAAGATAAGAACGTTGGATATTTATTGCTGTAACGGACAGAACAGAACACCCCGGGGTGTTTTGTTCGAGGTTCACAAGTCGCCCGCGCACGCAAGTCGCGGATTTTCTTCTCCGATTTCGGGATTTGATTCATTTAACGCTGCATTAAAAAATAAGAACGTTGGGTATTTATTGCTGTAACGGACAGAACAGAACACCCCGGGGTGTTTTGTCCGAGGTTCACAAGTCGCCCGCGCACGCAAGTCGCGGTTTTTCTTCTCCGATTTCGGGATTTGATTTGCACCCCCCTGCGCGCGTGGAGAGAGCCTTTACCCTTAGGAATCTTAACTTCTCAAGGGGGGAGTCCCTTTATAAAGGGTTGCAAATCCCTTGGGTTTTCCGGTGTGGGAAATAACACACTAGAAACTCATCTTTTTCCCCAGTTTTCCCATTCTAACGGGTGAACTTCGAGAATCAATTTCTCATTCACCCGTTATCCGTTTTGAGCGTACCATATATCGAATTGTAGCCCTAAACAAGGACAATCCGAAACCACTTTGACCCGACCCAAATCAGAAGTGGACCCCGCTCAAAAAATTGCCCCCAAATTACCATTTAATGCAATTTTTCACACATTTTTCCAACATAAACTTGACTTGATGAGGAACATGCTCAAAAAATTTCATCAAAAAATTCCACCGGAAAGGGCCTGTGATGTCCTTGGCCGGACGGCACCTCTCGTCCCTCCGGATGGACCTGATCTTATATATATATATATATATATATATATATATATATATATATATATATATATATATATATATTATAGATTGGGAAAATGTTTTGGCATAAAATCATAATTGGAATTACTTCTTAATATACTCGACACTATGATTGCTTTGTAGATTTCTTGTCTAGTGGAATTTATATTTCAAATTATATATATCCCTGGTTTCACTTTTATCGAGTCAGTTCATTTTTTTTTTCAGCGTTAGTTTTGCTTCGAGGTCATTAATGATATTGAGAGTAGTAATTGCTCAATATAGGACTAAAACATACTCAAAGTTAAAAAATAAGACTAAGTTTATATTTTCCAAATATAACTTAATTAGTCATATTAAAAGAATAATTTGATAAAAAAAAAACTTCCCAAAATAGGAGTAGATGAGTCCTATTTGGGGAATGCACATTGATAATCTTATTTATGAACTTTGTCTATGATTTAGTCCTATTTATAAAATTTTTTCATAATGATATTGTTAAGGATTACAAGTTCTATGATGAGTTCATAGTTAAAGTATTGTTTAAGCTCAAACTCAACATCTTGAACTACTTTAGACACTTGTCTCCTACATGAGACACATTCCACAAAGTTCTCATATTTAGATATTACCTTTAAATTTATCAAGTTATGAATTAATGTTAAAAGTTGAGCATGTGGTGAGCAATGCAAATCGTTTATTTAAATTTCGCATCAAATCAGTTACCTTTTCTACTATTTGAATTCCTTTAATTTACTTTATCGTATAAGTATTTTACTCCATTCTGCTGAATATTTTATTAAAACTCAATACATTAATAAAAATTACAATTAAATTTATATTTCGTGCATGCACGAATAGGATACCAAATTTCTATAAGGAAAATTTCACTTGTACACGTCATTCACACGCGCCCATTATGTTCGCAAATTAGACCGTACATCCGGCTGTACATAGGGCATGGTACAGCCGGGTTTTTTTGTAAATTATTCCAAGTTTGAGTCTAATCTTCGTCCTTCCCAGCTGTTTCGTCCTCTTCTCCCAACTTTCTTTCCTTCATCTGTTTCGTCTCTACCGCGACTCTCCCAGCTGGTTTCCGTCTGGTCATCGATCAATTGGAGTAAGATTTCTGTTGCCTTTTCTTTGCTTTTTATTATTTTATTCATTTATGTTTTCTTCCAATTTTGTATTGCAATGATAAATTTTTGTTTTTGCTTGTTTCCATCTTCTATCTTACTTTCGTTCTTCTTTTACAGTTTCTTCTCTTTGATGTGCTCCTCTTTATTATTTACTTCCGTTGATTCTTGTGCAGGTTTAGTTTTTTGAAGTTGTTCATTCAGTTCAGGTTATTGTCTTCTGAATTGCAGGTTTAGGTTTAGGTTATTTTCTTCTATCGTAGGAACAAAATAATATTTTGTTCATTCAATTCATATTTTTTTGTTGTAGCATTTGGGTTTATCCAAGATTTGATGCTATGTCTAGTTCTGGAGGTATTTTTTCAAGAAACACCTTCAATATATTTGATTTGTTTAGTTGAGTATTGCTTTACTGAGTATTGATCATCTGTACTTTGCTTTTGATTTGTCATCCCCTGTCAGATGGTATTTCTTTTAGTGGCAAATTAATAGAAGATATTGAGGCGAGAGGCGAACTTTTTGAAGTTGATTGTCGTAATGTTTTCTATCTTTTTAATTTACATAGTGTTGTTTTTTTGTCTGTGTTGTTTACTTTGAGATTTTGTTAGTTATTTGTGCATTTTTTATGTCTTCAGATTACTTGCATTCTGCTGATACCTTAAGTGAAGAAATTTTGTCAAGAACTGAATCTGTTCCTGTCCTACCAAGTATTGTGTTTTCTTACATTTTATTACTTTGTTAGGTTTTTCCCTATTCAAATTTTTAATTTTTTTTTTTTGCAGTTCAAAATTCTTCTACTTTTGTTCATGTAGATCAAACTGATGAGTCTGTGTGTTCTGAAAATATATGTGTTAAGGAAGCAGACATTTCTGATTTATTGGGTAAAACAGTTTTTTCGGAAGAAGAGGCATTTGATCTATATAATGACTACGCTTATAGAATTGGATTTGGTGTTCGCTATTCTACTTTGAGAAAGAGGAGTAACGGTGTTGGTTTTAGAGGAAGGGAATTTTGTTGTACGAAACAAGGTATGAAAAGAAACAAAGGTGTTGTAGGTAAACAATATACAAAAGTTGATAGACGAACTGGTTGCAAGGCAAAAGTTTATTTTGAGTTCAAATCTACAGGTGAGTTGGTTGTTGTTAGGCATGATATGGTTCATAATCACCAGTTTTGCCCGGAATCTTTAGTTCATCATGTTAGATCTCATCGTGCTGTTTCTTCAAGCGAGTTGGAGTATTTGCAACATTTAAAAAATAAAGGAGTTAAGATTGCAGATGGTTTTCGTTGCTTGCAAGCTGAAGCGGGTGGATCTCCTTCTGTTGGTTTTCTTTTGCGCGATGCTTATAATGAACTGACAAAAAAGTCTAAGAAATCTTTTGACGGTTGTGATGCAAATACATTGATTAATATTTTTAAGAACAGGCATGCAAATGAAGAAGACTTTTTCTATTCTTTTGAGGTTGATTTGGATGGTTCTCTTTGTAGCTTTTTTTGGAGAGATAAGAAAATGAGAGAAGATTATACTGCATTTGGTGATTTAGTTATTCATGATACGACTTATCGGACCAACAAATATGATATGATTTGTGGTCCATTCGTTGGCATTAACTCTCATACTCATAATTGCATGTTTGGTTGTGGTTTTTTATTGAATGAAAGAATTGAGTCGTTTGAATGGCTTTTCACTACATTTTTGCAATCTATGGGTTCTGTTCATCCAAGAACTATTATGACAGATCAATCGGCCGCTATGTCTGCTGCAATTTGTAAAGTATTTCCTCTCTCGAAACATCGTCTGTGTGTTTGGCATATCATTGAAAATTCAAAGAAACATATACGTGACTTGAGGAATCAAGAGGGCTTCTTAGATTTGTTTGATCATGTTCTGAAATTGTGTCACACCGTTGCAGAATTTGATCATTACTGGAATAGGTATCTTTTATTATGACTACATTTTGTTTTATCTTTTCATATTTTTATTAGTACTGATTTTATGAGCATTCTGTGTGTTAACAATGAGTAACAGGTTGTACGAATTGATTAGTTTTGTAAATTCATTGTCTTTTATTTTGTAGAATGATCTCTGAATACAATTGCTCTGATAATCCTTGGTTGAAGAAACTATATGAGATGAAAGAGAAATGGTGTCGAGCTTTTTCAAAAGAGTTCTTTTCAGCTGGAACCTTGTCTTCACAACGAAGTGAATCCACAAATCATTCTTTGTCTAGAAAAATGAATGCGAACTCGTCTCTTTGTGACTTTTACCATTTTTTCAGTGAGGCTGTCAGTGAATGGCGAAGTAATGAACGAAAAGATCATCAACGTTGTTGGGATGGTTATCCTGAAATTGCTATTCCCTATGTTGGTTTGTTACATAAGGCATCCAAGGTTTACACGATTGATGCATATAAACTCTTTGAAAAGGAATTTATGAGAGGTATGTCTCTTAAATATGAAGTTAGACATCATCAAGGTTCTTTAATGGGTTATTTGGTATGGATGCCTCAAATAGATCAGTTTTCTCATTGGGTTTCCTATGATATACCAACACATTTTGTTAGTTGTTCGTGTAAAAAATTCCTAGAGGTTGGTATTTTGTGTTGTCACATTCTTCGTATATATCATATTCACTGTGTGGAAGTTGTTCCGGATTGTTATATTCTGAAAAGGTGGACTCGTACAGCAAAGTGTCACGTAAATGAAGAAACTCATGATGTAGCTGGTACTTCTACTGTCTTGCCTTCTGTTTGGAGACTGCAAATGCAAAAGAAATATCACAAGCTGTTATGCTCTAGTGATTCAAATTTTGCAGCAAGGAAGTTATGTGAAGACTCTTTTAAAAGTTTGAAAGTTGCTATTCAAGATCAAGTTGGAAGCATTTATTTCTCAGATAGTGACTCCACCTCTGTTGGTGCGCCTTCAGCAATCTCTAATCCAAAAACTTCAAGGAAGAAGGGTGAAAGAAATGTGCGTCGCAAAAGTATTATTGAAGTCAAAACAAATCAAGCTAGAGGAAAGAAAAAGTTACGTCAAATGAGCACATCAGTCACTGATCATGCAACTTTGTAATCAGATTATTATATACTATTGTATTTGTCTTCTTCTATTTAGTTTCTGTTTTTTTAAAACATATGTGTAATCTTATTACTCAACGTCGTTGTTTTAATGTTCAAAAGAAACCATATGCGTGCTCATATATATTAATATTTATAATTTACTCTTATCCGTTTCTAGTACTCTTTTATTCTCTGTTGTTATATTTTTTTCACACTTTATGTTGAACGTTTACCGAATACACTTCATTCTGATCAACAAATCCTTTGAGTATTCCTTTTTTATGTAATGAACATTAATTATAAAAGTTATGAGTGTGTTTAGCAAAGTTCATATGATTCAAACATTAGTATCCATTTTGATATATTTTTTTTAAATTGAATTTACTTCCAGTATTATATCTGCCTTACTAATACTTAAAAAAATCAAACGTTTTTCATGTAAAACTAATTAAAGAAAATATTATATATTGTCATACGTATTTGTGTTATCATACTCAACTTTTGTGTTGTAATGTTCAAAGAAAACATTATCCGTACTCATATATATGATTATATATATATATATATCAGGTATATATAATTGACTTGTATCTGTTTATAATATGTACTCTATTATTAACATCTACTGTTATTTTTTTTTAACTCTTTGTTGAACATTTATATATTCCACCTTGTTCTCATTAAAAAATGTTTGAGTATTCTACACACTTGTAATGAACATTATTGAAGAAGTTATGACTATGTTTAGCAAAGATATGTCATTAAACATTGGTATCCATTCTCATACATTTTTTGCTTGAATTTACTTCCGGCATTATATTTAACTTATTAGTACTTTAAAAAAACAAACACTTTTATATTAATTATAAAAGTAGTTCACACTCAATGTTTATACATTTTAAGTTACTTCTAATCCTCAGATTGAGTATATTTTTATTTAAAATGAGCATGTAATGTACTAGTAATGATCATTGCCATAAACGTGAAGTGTCTCTTTCATCATAAAAACACATGTCCAGTACATTCACCATCGAACATTAACAAGAACAAAATATGTCTTTTGCCAACAAAAACATAGAAGCATTTGAAGTTCATATTAAACTAAGTTAAACATAAGTATCATTAGAAGAACTACATTTCCTTCACTTTGTTCATCAACTCCATTCTAACTTCATTCCTTTGAAATGTCAACATCTTGTGCAAGTATTTAAGCCTCAAGACCTGTATGTGCTTTTCCTGCATGATTATTTGTGTTAGTATTATCATACAATATTATTTATTTATTAGTAATATGTCATTAAATCTTTGATTAAAAATAAAAAAGTACTTTACATGTTCTTTTTCTAGGCCACAATCCCAGTCTGTCTCTCCATTAAAAGTTTCCATGTGTCTCATCAGATAGACACCATCATTAGCTTTGTTTTTTTTGTTTCTCCATGCCATTTTGACTACTTCTGGCTTCATATTCTTCACTTTGTCAGCATGCTGATGTTTTTCTTCTTTAAGCCATTTAAGTACAGCACTTTTCTGTAAATAAAAACATTTACACATTAAATATGTTCAGATGCTCATTTTTTATAAACAGTATACACATTTTAACAAACAAATAATTTTGATTTATTACTTACCAGTTGGGTTGGTTGAGAAAGGTACTTCATTCCTATTGCTATTTCCTTGTCACAGTTATCAATGATTAAGAACTTCATGTACTTCATATCAAAGCACATTAGGTAGTAGCTACCATTACGTTCAGCTGGGAAGATAAACAAGTCCATGTTCTTCACTTTCGGCAATGCCCTTTTGAATTGGATCCTTGTAGCTTCAATGAATCTCTTGTTTCTGGTTGCTGCAGCACTAATCTGATTTTCCTCCAACACTCTCTGTAAACCAATTGTATAAGATATAATTTTCAAATTCAAATAAAAATATTTAAAATCATAAATCTTACACATGGTGTTGTTGTGAATATCAATCTATTCCTTGATTGAGTGCTTTTCAGACTCTCAAATTCATTCAAAATCATCGCCCATAAATCTATCAACAGTGGACTGACTATGGAATCAATGTTCAAAGTCTCCATCTCCTTTCTTGAAACAATCAGATTTCCATCTTTATAGAGCACAACCCTATTTATTTTAAGCAATTGTCAGCTAACTATTAATTAAATATTTTAGACAAGCAGTTTTCAAATATGTAGTTACTTACGATTTATCAGAGTTCTCTTCAAACACAAATTTAGCTAGTTTGACTTCTTCAGTAGTTGTTCCTGCCTTCATTTCTGTAATTCTGATCACGTATGGAGACTTGAGAGCAGGGCCAGGCATTACTTGTCTTTTTTCTCTTTCCACATGTGCACCACATTGGCCCTCTCCTTCAAAACAAGCTTGCTTTCCCTTTTCAGATGCCTTTATTCTATCATGCTCTTTTAATTCAGTCACAGGAATAGCTTCACTTGCGTTTATTATCACCTCCTCTTCATTATCTACCTGAGCTTCATTGTGTTGCTCATCAAGCTCCTCTTGATGCTCATCAACTGCATATACATGCTCATCTCTCTGTTCTTCATCTTCCTGGCCACCTGCATGCTCATTTGACTCTTGTGAAAGCAGTGTGAAACTGGGCTTTTCGTATTGTATTAATGTAGGCCTATCATTCCTTTTTTTCTGAGCTTTTTCAATAGCTTCAACTGCCTTTAAAACCTCTTCAGTCCAAAACTCATCATCAGGAGTCATTCTTATTTCTTTTTCAGTTGTTTGTGGCTCTGTTGAGTATGTGTTGAAGAGTCCATGCACTTTACCTAGCAAAACCTTCATTTTTTCATCATCAGGCAACACCTTCGCAGCTTCTTGAAACTTTTCATCAAAGTTTGCTATGCTATCTGCCAAATGCTTTGCTGCTGAAGCGAATTCCTTCATGATATCCTGTATAAATCATATGAGTATTAGTGTATTACTAAAATTTTCATTCAGTGTTATTTTATTTTATTTTATTTTGAGTTACTGTATTGTGTTAAGGACATATAAAATGATGCACAACAATTTTTCTATGCTTATATGATAATTTTAGAGTAACTCAGTTTTTCCACTGTTCATATTTATTACTCAATTTAATTTAATAATATACTCATGTATAATTTATATGATACTCAAGTGTATAAAGAGTACATTATTTGCCTTACCTTATCTGCTTGCTCACTGCATTCTTCCTCGTTTTTCTTATTCTCTTCATTCTGAATCAGATTTGGAATTGTAAGAGTTCCTTGATTTGGTTCATCTATGTATCCAAATCCAAACCCTCCACTTTCTATCTCTTCCTTTTCCCTTTTGTTGAGATTCTGAGTTGTCCATCCAACTATAGATGGCAAGCCTCTGTCTACTTTCCTTCCTTTGAATACCATATTGTCAACATAAAACACCTAACATTTTTCAATATTTAGAATTGTGCATTACCATACCATAATTGAGTAATAAAATGATTACTTTGAGTATTGAAATTATATAGTTTTTAACTTACAATCAAAAAGAGAAGAGGTCCTGGGAACTGTCGTGCTCTGCTTTTATTCCAGTAGTCCTTTGATTCAATCAATGTCTGCAAAGCATAACTGCACCAATTAAAATTCTTTATTTGTGACTCATCATCCAGTGCTTTGAGTATGCTTTGATTGACAAAGCAATTCTGCTTTCCTTCAATTAAACAAGTCACCAGGAGAACCAAGAAATTTTTTTTGAACCAGCCTCCAGCTTGTTTATTTTTCTCCAATAGATCTTTCAGTTCACCAGTCCTCACAAGTCCTTTATCACTACTGAACTGTGCTCTCCAATCAGCCACCATCTCTGCTGTTTTTTCACCTTGAGTATCTATCAACCTTTTCACATCCAAGTTTCCCTTTGGAAATCCCATTGTGTAGTGTATTGCATCTTCAGTGACACGCAATTTCTCGTTCTTTGGCAAATGCAATGAAACACTCCTGCTATCAAACCTGTCCACAACCCAATATGCCAACTGCATTGGCAATTGTTTGATTTTTAAGTGTAGTATTGGGCCAAACCCCATGTCTACCACTTCTTCCTTCTGTTCTTCAGAGAGGGATGTGATTACCTCAGTTAGACTTCTAGGAGACATTCTTGACCATAGCTTTGGAAGGTTATCATCACCCTCCTTTTCTGTTTCCTCATCTTCATCTTCTTCTACGTCGTCTTCTTTCTTTTTCTTCAACTTTTCTTTATTCTCTCTCTTTGCTACCACTTTACTTTTATTTCCAGTTTTCGCAACTTCTTTTTCCTTGTTATCACCTTCTTCTGATGTTTGCGATCTTGTTATTCTTTTGCTTGAGAAGACTTGCATTGCACTTTTCTCAACTTTTCTTGCTTTTGATGTTTTGCTCTTTCTTCTTTTTTCACCACTCTCTTGTTCACCCACTTCTTCTATCAATGCTTGCATTAAAAGCTGTTTCTTTTCTGCAGCAGTATGTTGCTCAACTTCTTCTAAAGCATTGACATCTGCTGTAGTGCCATCATCATTTTCTTTCTCATTAACTCCCTCTACATGCTCATATTCTTCAATATATTTTTCAGCTTCCTGAACAGTATCTTGATGAACTTGTTCATCACTTTTTTCTTGAACTGTATTCTGACCTGGATCCTCATTCTGCTTGAAACTTTCTCCATCAACAGCATCCTCATCTGCAGCTGTATGTTGTTTAACTTCTAAAACCTCTTCAGATGCTTTTCTTTTCTTTTGAACACCTACCTTCTTTTGTTGCTTCAGGGCTTTTGAAACTTTTGGACTTTTTAATGCTTTCCTTTTTGGTATTTTACGCAGGACTGGAATCTCTGTTACAACCTTTGTTGGTGGATTTCTGCATTAAAAAATCACAACATTAGTATTGTAATAGTTAAATGATGCTAATACTTTATAATGAGCTTTTTCAGAAATTTCATGCAACAGTGTTTGAGTACTATCTACAAGATGATGAGTACTATATCAGTTTTGAATTAATACTATTATGAGTTATACCATTTTAGTTCAAAACTAAAAACACTTTAACCATTTTCATATTTCATAATCACATTGAACTTTGTTCCCAGTAATCATGAGCATTATACAGTTCCAAATGAGTATTAAATCAGTATTCAGTGAGCATTTAACACGACAAGCAAAATGTGAAATCTATGTCACATAATACATTACTTCATAAAAAATAAAATAAGAAGTATATGAGTATCAAAAAGCATATGATGAGTACTGTAACATTTTTCATACTATCATTACTTTTGAAATAACCAAATAAGAATATTCTTCTGCCATTTTCATAATCACATTGAACTTTGTTCCCAGTAATTATGAGCATTATACAGTTCCAAATGAGTATTAAATCAGTATTCAGTGAGCATTTAACATGACAAACAAAACGTGAAATCTATGTCACATAATACATTACTTCATAAAAATTAAAATAAGAACTATATGAGTATCAAAAAGCATATGATGAGTACTGTAACATTATTCATACTATCATTACTTTTGAAATAACCAAATAAGAATATTCTTGTGCCATTTTCATAATCACATTGAACTTTGTTCCCAGTAATCATGAGCATTACAGAGTTCCAAATGAGTATTAAATCAGTATTCAGTGAGCATTTAACACGACAAGCAAAATGTGAAATCTATGTCACATAATACATTACTTCATAAAAAATAAAATAAGAAGTATATGAGTATCAAAAAGCATATGATGAGTACTGTAACAGTTTTCATACTATCATTACTTTTGAAATAACCAAATAAGAATATTCTTCTGCCATTTTCATAATCACATTGAACTTTGTTCCCAGTAATTATGAGCATTATACAGTTCCAAATGAGTATTAAATCAGTATTCAGTGAGCATTTAACATGACAAACAAAACGTGAAATCTATGTCACATAATACATTACTTCATAAAAATTAAAATAAGAACTATATGAGTATCAAAAAGCATATGATGAGTACTGTAACATTATTCATACTATCATTACTTTTGAAATAACCAAATAAGAATATTCTTGTGCCATTTTCATAATCACATTGAACTTTGTTCCCAGTAATCATGAGCATTACAGAGTTCCAAATGAGTATTATATCAGTATTCAGTGTAGCATTTAACACGACAAGCAAAATGTGAAATCTATGTCACATAATACATTACTTCATAAAAATTAAAATAAGAACTATATGAGTATCAAAAAGCATATGATGAGTACTGTAACATTTTTCATACTATCATTACTTTTGAAATAACCAAATAAGAATATTAGAATATTGTTCAACCATTTCAAAATTTCATAAGCACATTGAACTTTATATGCAGTAGACATGAGCAGTAGAGATTACAATATGAGTATTATACAGTAACAATTATTTGCAGTACACATGAGCATTAGAGATTACAATATGAGTATTATACAGTAACCAACATGTCAAATCTATATCACATATTTCGTTACTTTATAAACATTTAAATAAGAAATATATGAGTATCACAAACCACGTGATGAGTATTGTACCAATTTTAATGTAATATCATTTCATAACAAGCATCTTCTAAACACAATTGATTGCAGTAAACATATTGACGCTTATATGTACTTAACAAACACCTGTTGTCTTATTGTACTCGAAATATGAGCACAAGAGGGGCGGTAATGATCATTATAACATTTTAATAATCAATTTGACTTTTATCTAAATTATACTCTGTATATGTTTTTTCTCCAAAATAACGAACATGCAATTTTATTAACATAATGAGAACTAAGAAACAAAATGCAAATGTATATGAATGAGTATTACATACTTTTCAGATGCTTCAGCACTTTCGTGTTCTTCATGTGCATTTGAAAGCATGTTCCATTCTGAAACGAGATCCATAGCTCTGTTCGTTCTTAGTACTCAAAACCTAACACTTCGGAACTCAGATCTCCTTCCCCGTCTTCTTCTAGCTCGTAAAGCAACAACTCCGATTAACTGGTCACCATTAATGTCGAGATACAGATATGGCGGTGTAGTTGGGAAGAGTTGTGTCTCGTGCGAAGAGATTGCGGTTTTTGAGAGATTTGCAGTTGCTTTTTGTTTTTAAAAAAAATCGTTCATGTATTTTATTTTACCGCAACCGGGTATTTTCAAATTTTGGGCTTTTGGAGCACGGGCCAACAGTTAAGTAATTTAAAAACACTAAAATTGGGCCGGCTGTACGGTGCTCACCGTACAGCCGGATGTATGGTATACGAACCCCATTATGTTGTGTACATGTTTGTGTCATAGACAATCCATCTTAAAAATCGATGAAGGTATACAGTCCATTTACTAATAGGCTAATATAATTAGGAATCTACCTAATAGATATTTAGGAATCTGCCTAATATCTGTTTAGGAATACTTTGTATTTTGGCAACTCTTCTATTATAAATATATCTGTCAGGACTCCTATTGGAGTACCTCTTTCCCATTATTTCACATGGTATCAAGAGCTTAGGTTTTTAGACACATTTTTTTCTCTCTCTTTTTTTTTTTAGTTCCCATGAACCTTATTATAGCCGCCGCCGCTTCGGGGTCGACTGCCGCCACATTTACGGTAGTCTTCGATCCTTTGAAGATGAGCGCGGCTAATATGGCGCAGATCACCTCCTTCGCGTCGCTGAACACGGTGCTTGCTTCCAGCGTGCCGTTGAATTCGCCGCCTGCTGCTGCCGATGTCCGCGCAGCCCACCTTCTCTGCGTCGCTGACCACGGTGCTTGCTTCAAGCGCGCTGTTGAGTTCGCCGCTGGCTGCTGCAGACATATATTCTCATGGAGATCTTATTGTCAAAGATGTGCCTTCTAATCTTCCGCTCATGGATATATTTACTAAGAGTTTTTTTTTAGTTTGCAATTTCATTTTTTTAAAAGACAACTTGCGCGTTGTATCTCCCGCACAGTTTGAGGGGGTGTAATAGGCTAATATAATTAGGAATCTACCTAATAGATATTTAGGAATCTGCCTAATATCTGTTTAGGAATACTTTGTATTTTGGCAACTCTTCTATTATAAATATATCTGTCAGGACTCCTATTGGAGTACCTCTTTCCCATTATTTCACATTTACAAGCCCATTTTGCCTGTGCAATGCAATTCTTTTGTCTGTACTACAATCATTTTGTTTTTGTCTATTCACCATCAATTCACCTTTAAAATAAAAAATAGATGTACATAGACATACATGTAACGTACTTGTAAATGTAGTGTATGCCTTTGGCATGTAAAAGAAGCAGGACTAGTGATGGACCCGGGCCGGGCCAAGGCCCGGTCGGGCCTCGGGTCTGGTAGAGGTTGGCCCGGGACCGGCCCGGGCTATGGCCGGTTCCGGTTCGGGCCGGGCCACCCGGCCGGGTCACGGGTCGGGCCACCCGCCGGGCCGGGCCGGTTCATAATTTTTTTAAATTATTATAGATTATACAAATTCATATTAAAAACAAAGTTCAAGTGCATTTATTTGAAATGAGAACTACATTTGAGAATTGAGAAAAAAATAACAATATGAAATACATTTTCTAATAAATATCAATTGGGATTTCCGCCACCGTTGGTTGTTGTTTTCCCTTTGTCATAGGACTTCATATGTTTTATTGGCATCCCGTATCCGTGTGAACGCCCCAAGCTACACTCTTTCTTGCACCACAGTCCGGTCTTCGGGTCCTTCCACTTATCAAAATTGTTTTGCATAAGGGAATATGTACTTTCCATCTTTAAAATGGTATATGTATAAGTAGGAATGTAGGATAATAAGAGAAGATGAAGATGGAGAAGAGTTGGAGAAGAGTTGGAGAAGAGTTGGAGAAGAGGCTAGAGGTGTAGAAAAATGTTAGAAAATAGATGTATTTATAGATGTTTTTGAACCCCACTCCCCACACCACCACCCCCGGGACCCCCCTGCCCCCCACCCAAAGCCCCAACGGCTATATAGCCGTTTGGGAGCTTTTTAAAAAAAAAATAATTTTTTTTAAGTTATACATATTGTAAAATAAGTGAATTAATTTAATGAATTAAGTAAAGCTATTTTTACTTAGAAAAGTGGTTTGATTTATAATTTACAAATGTTACAAAATAAATGTATAAGTATTTAAACAAATTACATATTGTAAATGTACTTTTAATTTAAAAATCGCCTTTAGATTTTAGAAAAATAATTTTAAGCCGTAAGTTTGTAACCAATTAATTAATTTGAGAAGTGCTACATATGAAAAAATGAACGCATATTTATTTGAAATATGAAGTACAAGTTTACAAATTAATTTGAAGTACAAGTACAAATTTACAACTTTGAAATATGAAGACATGAAGTACAAGTTTACAATTTTGAAATTTGAAGTACAAGTACAAGAAAAATGTAACAAGAATACTAATGAACTAATTAACTAGTATAATGAAAAATGTAACAAGAATACTATTGAACTAATTAACTAGTATAATGAAAAATGTAACAATTAGTGGGAATACTAATTAACTAATCAAGTAATGTTAATAAAAAATGTAACTAATAAGACAAATGTATGAATGTGTATAGTAATTAATGGGAGTAAATGAGTAATAGAATGATTTTAAGTGATATTAATTAAAGTGCAACTAATATATAATATAATGTTTATAGTATATAATATATAAGTATACTAATATAAGATGAGTAATACACTTATATTTTATACTTTAATATATAAACTATATATTAAGTAGATGTAGAATGTATGTATTAAGTGGATATAATAATTGTATAAGAATTAAATATTAGAGTATAATGGAGAATTGGAGATTGGAGAATAAGAAAATAAGTATATATGAAATATAAGTAGAGAAGTAGATATTATTATGTATTAAGTATATACTAATAGTTTATAAAGTATATTTAATACTTTAATATATAAAGTATATATTAAGTAGATGTAGTATGTATGTATGTATGTATGTATGTATGTATGTATGTATGTATGTATGTATGTATGTATGTATGTATGTATGTATGTATGTATGTATGTATGTATGTATGTATGTATTAAGTAGATATAAGTAGAGATTAAGTAGATAAGAAATATAAGTAATATAGTATATGTATTTATAAGTAGATAATTAATATATATATATAAGTAAATATAATAATTGTATAAGTATTAAATAGTAAACTAAAATATAATGGAGAATAAGAGAATTTGAGAAGATGAATATGGAGATGAGTAGAGAGTAGAGAGTAGGATTTAGGAAGAGTTGGAGAAGAGGTGTGAAAAAATGTTTAAAATTAGGAGTATTTATAGGCTTTTTTTTAACCGCCACCCCCACTACGGGCGGCCCGAACCGGGTCCATCACTAAGCAGGACCATTCCTACAAATATCTAGGGTTGAGCACGGTCGAAAAATATCCACTTAATTAGTAAAACCCATACTACGTCCAAGTAGGGTTGACCACTACTCAAGTTTCTAATGGTTCAATTCCAAGGTTGGAATCTTCGGTACTACGTCCCTTCGAAATGAGGTATAGTACAATGCCAATTAATGTTCAAAAGTTTTGAAAAATGATGCAATTAATTGAAACCATCAGACCGGCAAGTTCACATGAAATATAGAAAAATAAAAGAATGATGATACCAAATGTCAGGAAAGACATATTGTCCTTCGTTATAGGTTGAATAATATACCAAGCGGCACAATGACGGCTAGGAAGTAAACCATACACTGAATAAGTTAAGGTTCAAAAGTACACAAATGTGATACATAGTCATATACACTACATTACTGGAAGTCAATAGTCAGAAATGATTTTTAAAACTTTAGCATTCTTTCAATCTATACCAAAATATAACATAAAGTATTCAATTTTTTTATACAACCTTGATTTTACTCATAAACATGAAATTGTTTATGACATCTTATGAAATAAAAATGATTTTACTCATCTTTTGAACTGTTTTCTGTCCCAGACCAGACCAAACTGGATCAGACCAGACCAGAACTGATCAGATTAGACTTCCGTAGTAATAAAATACACATAGACCAGACGTTTACAAAACCAGACCAGACCTGATCAAACTAGCAAACTTCAGTCCAAAAGAAAACATCCTTAAACCACACGCTGAATAAGTTAAGGTTCAAAAGTACACAAATGTGATACATAAAATAGTCATAAATACTATATTACTGGAAGTCAGCAGTCATTAATGATTTTTATAACTTTAGCATTCTTTCAATCTATATCAAAATATAACATAAACTATCCAAAAGGAACGAATACCACAATGTATATAATCACACACATTTAGTTATTTTAGAAGCGAATAATACAACTTATAATATTGTTTTTTAAAAGAACACTTATATATTAATAATAATGAACGTGACAAAGGACACAACAACCCAATAGCTTAGAGCTAGCCTGGGGTGAGACATAGAATTGATCAGTGCCTGAGGACCTTGCAGATTCGCTAACCCCGCAAACATGGTAGGCGGCTAATATAGCAGTACCGCTGCACTTGCTACTAAAACAGATAGGTAAAAAACTAGAGTTATTAAACTGGAAAGAAAAATATAATCATAACTCCTTGTTTTACCGGCCACCAGTAAGGGAGAAGAGCTTTGATCTGCCACTTCCAAAGACGCCATACCGATTTGACCAGTCATCGGGAAGGGAAAACATGTTTGTCCAGCACCTCCAAAGGAAGCTTCCCGCTCGTATAAGCTAATAATGGAATTTCCGCCGTAGAGTCGTTTTTTGGTTCATCTCCATCAACCTCGCCCTCATCCCCTACCGGGTTCGCTGCCAATACTAAATCCATGTTTTCTTCCTCAGCAATGGTGGTTTTATTTGTAAGTCTCAACAAGCATTTCAATAGTGAGACCCAAAACCAAAACACCAGCCAGAAAACCAAAAGCAGGAATAACACGAAGAAACAAACAGTGACCACTTCACTACAACGAAAAAAGATCTAAACCTCCTCGAAACAACTCCGTAAACCTCTATGAGGAATCAAAGCTAAACAACAATCTTGGACTGAATAAACTAACAAACAAACAAAAGATCCGTTCACAAGGAACGTAGAAAAAACCTCGGCAACAAGGGGTACCAGACCAAAGCCGGGTACACGAAACGACCCGTACACCAACAAATTCTTAGGAGCGGTAAATGACCAAAAGCTACCCCATGAAAAAAGAGACCATAACCGGAATAAGATTAACGCCAGAGGCAACAATTGATATCTCCCCCGCCCCAATCG